AGACGATAATTGCAAGGCTATAGGTTATTATGCAAATGTAAACAACCTTTAGTAGCTCTTTTGCAATATAAAAGTGGTATATAAAGGCAATACACAAAGTAATTTCTTCAAATATACATATATACTGTTTGACACTTTGTTATCAACGATCTACGGTATGAAATAAAGACTTTTCTGATGATTCAGTACTCACCTCGAGATCTTCATATGTGCGAAATGCCATTATGGCGAAACCATCGATGATATCCTCTTCTCCCAGCGGCTCCCGCGACTTCTTCCTCCTGGCAGGAGGACGAGGCGGCTTCTCTCTCGTCGGAGACTCGTCCTCGCCGCTGTCTCCATCCTTAACTTTGCTCTCTCGCTGTGCTTGCATGCGCTGTGCCCGCTCCCTTCGCCTGTTTCTCTGATTGCGCTGCTTCACTTCGTTTTCCATCGTTCACACATTATTCGAAACACCCGACCACCGTGCTTCACTACACTAAAGTCCGCACTACACTTTTATCACACATGGTTATCCGTGGTTTCTACGCCGCTTTATTTAACGAAATATAAATCTTGCACTCAGAAAAAGACACTGGCCGTTTCCAATGGCGGATCGTACACCGTTGCCGCATTGCAAGTAAAATGGCCGCGTAGCACTCCACGGGCTGCTTTCTTTCACATTCACGTAAACGGAGGCATTATTCCACTAAAACTAAAACATACTACTATATATTTTATCAAGAACTTAGACAATAATACGATAAATTAACTTTATACATTATTCTCTGTGTTCAGAATCAGTCAATAGTCAATACAATGAAAGGTGTTACACGACGCCAACGCTGCGTTGCGGTCGCGATGGTGAACTAAAGGCAGTGCTGCCAACCTCACGTACAGACATTCCGCGATACTGGGCGTCATTGGCAATGTGGCGCTGGGACGTACTCTTCTAACTGGTAAGGCCGTCTCTTTTTTTCGATTGTAATAATAAATTTAAATTAGAGAGTTTTTAGCGTTGTTATTGTATAACAATTTACATTGTAATTATGTGGTTTTGAAATAATTAGTTGTACTATTATCTAGTCGATATCTTGAATACTAGTTTCTGCAATCCGTATTATTGAGGATATTTCAAGGTTTGATCTGTGATGTTGGTAGCTGGTGAACGAAATGAGACTGTATTTGTTTGGAATAGAAGTATTCCAACTATTATTAATCTGTGGACACGGTGTTTATATTTTCTCTGGTATACTCTGACTAATAAATACACAGTGTCGATGCTAGAGACCAAGATTAATGTTTGAGAAGAAGTAATAAAATGAAGTTTGTGCATGTGCTGATCACACTGGTTGATTTTGACGTTTCGTTGAAAGGTTACGTTCAGAATTTAAGTAAACTATTTTATTTTAACGCTATTAATAACGTTACAGATTACATAACTATTAATAACTTTATACGTTGGGTACTATCGATAAATTTTTATTGATAGTAAAGTTGAATTTAGGGTCTTAACTGAATTTTTTTTTTATTTATAGGTCTGAAATATTTAAAAATTAAATTAATATGTAAACTCCAAACACTGCTGTTAAACTGAAAATACAAACGTTAGTATCATCATCAGCCAATAAGTGCCCACTGCTGAGCAAAAGTCACTTCTCACACTGAGAAGGTTTGAGCATTAATCACCACGCTAGGTCAAGGCGGATTGGAGATTTAAACTCATAATTAGAAATTATTAGTCCTGGTTTGCTCACGATGTATTCCTTCACCGTAAGTCAGTGGTGTGTAAATAATCATATAAAGTATGACTTTACTCTTTTGGTGTCCAAGTGCGGCGATTGCTTACCATCAGGTAACGCTCTTTTGCCGACCTTTACCCCAAAAAAAGCGCCCGCTTTTTTTACCTTTGGGCACCACGACACCTTTTTTTATTACGTATATACTTTACAAACATTAGTAGGTATAGCACATAGGCACTAAACATTTTATTAAGTACATCCTATAATCTAAGCACAAATATATTTATGTTAACGTAATCGGTTCTCATCCACAGACTTGTAACTGTGCTGTTGTTGACCAAAAGCACTCTTAACGGGCATTAATCACCACGTTTGATTAAGTAAATTGACGTTTTCAAAGATAAAAATATAAACATATCTTTGAAAACTCGTTTGACAGCAGTGCTAAAGTCAACTAAACGCCCTTTCGTGGACATTAACAGCCTATACGTGCCCGCTGCTGAGCAAAAGCCACTTTTCATACTGAGAAGGTTTTAGCATTTAATCACCACGCTAGTTTAGGGTGGATTGGCGATTTAAACTCATAATTAGAAATTATAAGTCTTGGTTGCCGCACGTTTTCCTTTACTTTGCCAGTGGTGTCTAAATAATCATAGAAAGTAAATATTATTATAACTCGGAAAAAGTAACTCCGGGTCACTACGTTAGTTAGTATAATTATCAAGTAAATATTTATATTTTCTTAGGTCCTATCATTTAATCGAAGCACAAACATAATGTAATTGTTCTGTTGTTGACCAACGGCTAACGAGCATTAATCACCACATTTGGGTGTTTTCAAAGATGTCACGTCTTTGAAAACGCGTATGACAGCAATGCTAATGTCAACGAAAAACAATGCCCTTTCTTACAGGTAAATACGGTAGTTTCCAACTAGTCAAATTCAATACTTTTATCCAAACGTCAAAAACGATACTTTTCTATGAAATTTGTATGAAAAACTGAGCTATGACGTCATAACATTTTTGCGTCAAATAGCTTACTTATTTCATAATAATTAGATTAAAAAAATCTAAAACTTAGTGGATCGATCAACCGATTTATAAAAGTTTGTTTTTTCCAACTTAGTCAAATTATGACATTTATTCATTGTGGCAGTAAATTTATTAAAATAATGAGTTACTCATGAGAATTAACCGAGAAAAGCTATATTGCTTTTAAGTTATAACGGGGCTCTTATTGGGCAGCGTGCGCGTCGCGGAGGTACGACGTCGCCGTCACGTCGAGACTTCAAAAGATTCCACATTTGTCGATTTAGCCCAAAGGATTAGCACATTGAAAGGAGCAGGGCAGATGCAGTAAACATGTTCTGGAGTGGAAACCATGCAGCGACTGCAGTACCTTTGTTGAGACAGGGTCTCTTTTTTTTATTATTTTTTATGTAACTCTCTAGCTGCTTTTGCCGCAAATACTTGAAAATTGGGCTCAGTGCGTGCTTTTGAGAAGATATAGATGGACATAGTCTATGGTCTAGCAGTGGGTAGAAACTAGCTGAATAAGATATATTTTCTATCTCATTCATAGGTTTTATAAGACTTTAAATATTTAATGGAGAGGGGCTCCCCTCCGGCGCCGTAGGTTTATAAAACAATTTACCTCTACGTTTATAATTACTTATACTATATGTACCAAGTAATAATTTGGTTACTGTTAAATAAAAGCCACATAATACAGAAGGATAATACTTATTTTATTATTATTCATTGTAATAAACAATTGACTATCTTACAAAAATGCTTTTTTTCTGCTTTGTCTCACTAACGACTTAGCACCTGTTTTTTTAGAGATTTATAGATTTTTTTTTAATATTTATTTTTCGGGTGCACGCTAATTTAGTGGAAGGGCTGTGCTTTGAAAAATAATTTATTTTGATAATCTTCGAGAACGGTAACTTTTCTCAGTGTCATTGAATCATGGATGTGCGAGATCACACCATAGATTACCTACTATGACTTGCAGATTTGTCAATCTATTACTTATTCACACTCAGAGAATAGTTAGGTATTTCATTAGGCTTTACTTCAAGTTTATTACAATCTATATAATGTTCTACATTAGTTATAGAAAGTGCTTTTCTGCATACCTACAGAAGTAGCTAGCGATCTGGGTTTGTAGCTAATTCCTAATTTTCATCAGCTCCATTCCCTGCTACATGACAATAGGGAATGAGCCTATTATTGCAAGTCATTGTAAATAAAGTTTAGAAACCGTGTTATTTTTTTATAAAAACTCCACTTAATATTTAATGGTCAATTGCACGGCCTGGAAAATTATTGCTCGGCAGATATAATACCGAGGTATCTAGCCAATATTTAATATTCTTTATTTAACTTTTAGATCATTTTCGTCTTTGTCTCGTCATGAGACAAACGCATATGAGTTCATACTCAACTCTCTTAGGCGCCATTGTTATGTTCTGATTGACATGATGCATAACGACCAGTCTTTATAAATTATTACCATTTATGATTTATAATTATTTTGAAATTCAATTTAAAAAAAGACTGTATTTATGATTATTTATCAGTATTAAACATATAATCGATCCTGCAATTTCATGGCTTAATATATAGCTGCAGTGAGTCTTTCTTTGTGTTTCGATTCTTTTAGATAAAACCTGCTTTTTGTCTAATTATTTTGTTTTTTTAAAAACCATCTTGATTGTAAACTAGTTTAAAATATTTACTGGATGCAAATAAATTGTATTAAAAGTAATCTAAATGTACTAAAGTATCTAGTATGTACCTACTAAAGTATCTAGTATCTACTTTTTCTCATAAAACTATGAATAAGTATATTCGTCGCCAGATTATTTCTTCACTTTTATAATAATTCTAACAACAGCTCCATTAGAACTTCTAAAAATATACATACATTTGCATACTAAGCATACAATTAAATAATGTTTGATTTATCGCAGCATTATGTCTAAATTAATCATCATTAGAATATATTATTACTTCAAAATTTATACCTATAACTAGTTCGTGTTGCTTAGTTCAAAGTAGGTACATGGCGTGTGAATAAACTTTGTACATTGTACCTATACTTGTATGTATAAAATATGGACTTAATCATAAGAAAACGATGTTATAGATCCAGTTGAGCTTGGGATGTTATGAACGAAGCACGAGCTTCGCCCGATACTTATCAATTAATACACGATATACATTACTGTCGATATGATAAAGTATATTGAAACATTAACTGTTGTATTATGAACAGAATTATCTTCTCGCCGCGTGATTCGGACATTGATTTTGTGTGTTATCGTTCTGTGTAATTAAAGGTATGTTAATTTTGATAATTAAATGTCTTGTGTTAATAATAATTATGCACCTTTTACTCGCCCGCCAGCCGTCAGTTTGCGGTATGGCAGTTTAATAAACCGATGTTTATAATTGCGTAATGATATGCCTTAAAAACAATATCGTATTATTAAAAACGAGTTTTTAGTCAACGCCATGCCCCAGCGCAAAAATGTGTGTGTGCAGAATTTTCGTTATTTTAAGAACATTTTGTGGGCAGTTTTTCGTGTGCTAACAAGATTAGTGTTTAATGCTTTAGTGGTTTTATGCTAATAAAACGTTAGACCTCCGACGGGGCATGCATTGTTTATTTTCTTTTTAATTTTAGTAGGTACTTCACTGTTATAATGCTGTGTGTACACGAAGGGGTGGCGAAGCGGACTTAGGACTTAACGGTGCTTTTTTATTTTGCTGTGTATAGCATTCGGCCTCCCCTTTGAAAACAAAATTGATTTACATCGCTAAAGAACGTGTGAATGTATGCTGATAAAACTTATAACAAACGTATTTTGTTTGTTTTAATAAATGTTGTGGTGCTTTATTTTGTTCGATATGAATCTCTTATGGATATGAAACTCGACGTGGAAGGTAAAATAAAAAATTACAAAACTATTATTAAATAATAATGACTCAATGCAAATGATGAAATTAATAAAATACATCAGAATTCATGGCTATATTTAAATTGAGTCATCATGAATATGAATGAAGTTAAAATAAAATAATACATAGGAGAAATTTATCGATAACGCATAAATTACTCTCGCATTGTGTATCGGTAGTTAAATATACAATGAATGATTCAAGAATTAATGTAAAAACATTAATATTGCTTGTTTTCGGTGTTTATTTAAACTAATTTTTAGACAGATTTAGTGTAGTTTGTGGGAAATGTTTACGAGAGGATTCATTTTACTTTCGTAGCCGTTAATAAGTATGTGTATACAATTCCACACCAAGCCACTATTTGCTAGTACGTAGACAACAAAATTTATTTGAATCTATTTATCTGCAAGTTAAATTTAATTTGGGTTTTGTTTTATAATTGCTTAGCTGTCCAGATAACCTTCACTTTACGGCTGACCTTTATTCATGTAATTTATATGGATGTGTTGTCTCGAAAGGTAAATAAATTACTAATCAAAGTTGTTAGACACACGTATTCCGGATTTAAATTGCTAAATGCATTTTATTGTTGTATTTATGTACCTACCTATCTATGTAGGGTCTTAGTTGTATGTTAGACTTTGAAACAAAATATTCAATTAATTACCTAGGTATTACTCGCATGTAGGTAATTGGAAAACTTTCTCAGTCAAAAAAGAAATACTCGTTAAACCATAACGATACTTTTAATAATTACACAATTGATTCGTTCATTTTATAATAAGTACTTAATTTTGATATTCGTATGTTTTTCTAGATGTAGATAACTCAAGAGAAATAAGTATGTAGATATGTTGTTTGACTTAAAAGAATGACGTCATTACGTGTTATTTCATTAAAAAAGTAGTTTATGAGATTTAAAAAAATTAAATGAACATCGGTAGGTATTGTTTCTTCAATTTATAATAAAACTCGGATGGTATGGAGTATGAAATGAATACGATGATAGAGGATTGCAGAATGACAATATTCTTTAATTTCATATGCGTGGGAAACTACTTAATTAATTAATTAATTGTTACAAAGTCAAATGTATCAATTTCAAATGTCAGCCAGTCGTTCGAACGAATGTATAATTTTATTCAACGAATAATGTGTCAAAATGCGTTTGAATATCGAATGCGTAGTGACCTCTAGGCTGTAGGTACTTACTATTTTCATTCTGTGCTCTAACAAAGATAAGTACTGGCTACTAAGTAAAGGTAAGATTTAGGGAATAAAAATGTAATGGCGAGTTTCGTCTATGCATTCAGTATTACCAGACTGAAAAAATACCATATATTGTTGGTACCTACGTTGTGTGACTTGTGTGATGACTAAAGGGTGTTTGTAACTTTTGAAATTGACTAAATGCAGTACTCAGGTACATTTAAATACTTCATTTATATACGTACAATTTACCTTAGTTAGTATTTAGTACCGAAAACAATTTCTAAACTCTAACCATTTAAATACAGAGTAGGTGCAGCGGAAGAAGTTTCAGCTTAAATAGGTACATATTATTTAACAGTGAAACAGTAATATCTGCAATCTGTATTACTTTAACAATTATAAAGCTATTTCATTTACAAACAGGGAGGTTGCCGTGACGGTTTTCTTATTTCTAGGTAAAGGTTCAATTATCTTAATATAGATCATTATTATTATATGAATAAAAGCACTTACCCAAGTTTTTAATAACAGAAGATCAAATATGTATGTCGACAAATAATTTATTTATATGCTTAATAGTTCTTACTATATAATAGGTACTAAATCAATTACATTAAGTAATATTTTATTACATAACTAGCTAGTTAATGAAAGAAACAATTAAAAATGAGAAAAACTAGTAAGCAAAAAATAAGCAATTTGTACCTCTACCTTATATTGAACGCTCCTCACAGTTTTTGTCGAAAGTATAAAATAAAAAATGTTTCTAATTTGTAGATCAACCATGAAGCCGAAATCCCTGGACCGTGCCATCGCTCTGGCGAGTATATTTGGGATCCTTCTGTCGACTTACGCCTTGTACGTAGAGATGGCAATAGAGACACATCCTGGTTACAAAGCTGCGTGTGACATCGCTGAGTTCGCGAGCTGCTCCCGAGTTCTTTCGTCTGAGTAAGTTAAATTTGCACGTACCGTAATCTGCCGCTCATTTGTCCCACGGAGAAGATAGAAGCACAGTAAAGCGCCATCTAGTAGCAGCCCTAAAAAGCTTACCTTATTTATACTAAGAGATTTTTTACATCCATTTATGTATCTGGCCGTACAGTTGTTTTTTGTAGTGGTCTTCAATCTGATTGATCTCCTACCTGAGTAGGTTAGTGGGCAATTGACGCCCATGACGGACCATGGACACCCGCAATTCCAGAGGAGTTACGAGTACGTTGCCAAGTTGTTGAAGGTTAGAGATTTAGGTTTAGGAAAGGGAAAGAAAGAAGGGAAGGATTGGGCCTCCTCACATGGTGAAACGTACACGACGCTATGTTTGTTTCACGCCGTTCTGCAATGCCGTAGTATCACTCCGGTCAGCCCATTCGTGCCGAATCATGGCACGAATGGGCCCCACTTTTTCAATTCTATCTAAGTAGTAGTGTACCTAACAGATTATTTAAACTAAGTTACAGTTACATTATATACCCATAAAAGTTTATTACTTATTAAAAATGCTACTGTTCACATGAGTCCTTACTTACCTTTCCGTAGTCGTCAAGGCCGATTTTAAACTAATTTATTAGCAAGGCGTACTAATTAAAATAGCTAAATTATTTTACCTAAATAGTTTTATTATTTTATTAACAAATTTACCTAAGTAGGTATATACATATAGTATATACCGTATAATATCTAATATGATGGCAATAAGCTCTATGTTTGTCCATTTTGTGCCACAAAATGTTCTGGGCTAAGAGTTGAACGACAGGAAAACCTTTCCCATATCGATTCAGGAACTATTATTGTAGTAGTTGACAGATATGGATCATTTGCGGAAATATTTTGGGTTAAGGAAAACATGTTTAGTTGTAATTTGTAATATTATTACCGTTTATATTGTGGTTTTTGGCATTAGTTAAAGATGCTTTTATGTTATTCTAGTAGATAATAGGTCTTTACCTATGAAATTGCCGTTTTGCATGAAAAAATATAAACGAATTTTTCGATTTGAAATGCGATAGAAATGTAACACTAATCAATAAACAAATGACTACTTTTGGAAAAAGAATCTCATGTTTTTAAAACAAAATTAATTAGCCTTAGCCTAACAAAAACCGTTTTGATTTGAAATGGCCAGTACTGCAGAATGGCAATTTCTTAGGTAAAGACCGATTATTTTGATTTGAAATGGCCAGTACTGCAGAACGGCAATTTCATAGGTAAAGTCCTATTATTACGAATCACGAGACGTTATAAATATTTATAAATCTCATAAGTTGACACCAGTTGACACATAAAAAAATAAATAAGACAATCATTTATTTTTGTCGTTTAATAAATGTACTTAGTAAAACAAATTTAAATTTGGAATTCTTTGGAGAAATCACTACGCCACCTGTTATTTTGAAATTATTTACGTTACATTAAATTAGATATTGTCAAAACTTTTGGTTCGGAATAAAAAGAAAAAATGCATGTGTAATGTAATGTACATCCGACGGAAATATCTATAACTATTGTCGAATATAAACGATAAAATTATTGTTTTTGTGTGTTTTCCTTACCACAAATTATTTTCGGCCAATGTTCAACCATTAGGTGTCTATAAGTGTTTGAACAGAACACGAAATATTTTTTTTATCTTCTATTTTCAATTGACAATAAAAAGAGTGAAACACATGTATTTAAATCGATAGTTCTAAGTCCGAAGCTTTTGCTAAGTTACATAAACTTTTTAATAAATATAAATAAATATATGTTTTTTCGCTAGTAAATCATCATCTTGTCTAGAAACAATAAAAAACTGATTTTCCCTACAGGTTCTCCAAGGGTTTCGGTTTGTTACCAGAACAATCGACACTGAAGATTCCGAACTGCATTTATGGAACGATCTTCTACTGCCTCATAATATTTTTATGTACGTATAAAAACTTATTATTACGTTTATTGAGCTATCTGACCCGATTTTTGTTTCGCAGAAATTCACAATAAAAATGTTGTAAAGTTAACGACGTTAACCCACTCTTTTTAAACATCTGCGTGAGATATCTAAGAACATTAATGCAGCTGTTTTTTCTTTGGATCTAAACCGAAACCAATAAACGCTATTAACTTTTACGATGTTCAGATGGAGTCGCCATTAAAGCTGTCATTTATACAAAAAAGGAGAAATCCTTCAATTAATTAAATAAAGACGTCAACTGTATAAGGCTGATTATATATCTCAATGCAGAGTCGAATCGCGAGTGGACTGTTAATTATAATAGTTGTATATAAAAACTGTTTCCACAGTTGGAACTATTGAATTAACGAGTGGTGTAACGACCAGCTACTAGTAATTATAATTGCGATGCCAATAATAATCGACATGGCATTACGATGTACCTACTGTCGGCGTCGATCGGTGGCGTGCAATTCGCACATCAATCCGGCCTGTGGTTGCCGTGCCGACTTCGTGACTTTACCACGAGAAAAATATTGCGAAACTCCCGACCTGTACTCACTCTAAGCTTATTTGGTGGTTCACGAGCCGTGAATAACTGTTATCGTAATAGGCTAACATTGGTACACACTCCTGGGAAGTGCGAAATGTTACGTGCCAATATGATTTACACGTTTACGGAAAACATATTCACAACAATTTGAGCTAGTTAGTTTTATCATTGTTATTAGTGTTCCGATAACCAAAGGTTGCACGTAACTTAATTAAATTGTATGTTTGAACGGTGTATTATTATAAATGTATTTGTTAATATCGTCCACGCGCTGTAACGAATGTGAAAGTTGAATATTATGAATTATTTAATATTCCCAATAGAATTAAAGTCTATAACAATAAAATGTTTCTCTATTTGAATATTTAGAGGGTTTGCGTGAGCTTTTATTGCTTCGCTAAAATGTTAATTCCGTGAAACACGCTCGTAAATGCTCGGAATTGTAGTGGGCATTGTGTTATTTCAGTCTGATATTGAAATAAGCCACAGCCGCTTTGTTAGATCTCTTTTGTTGTGTCGAGTGGTCATAATCTGTCATTGTAATTGCTCTATGCTTGATTTGATTTTATGATCCATTAAATAATGTTAGAACTCAGAAACCTGTAATTACGAATTTCTAACTTTAGTTAGGTGCTGTGTTTACTGTTATTATAACCATTTGAATTTGCAAGGGTTTGGCGTATAGTTTTAGGTTAAAAGTATCCGAGTACTTATAGTGTTATGGTATTTAGTGGTGTAGATCATTAAATTTGTTAAAGACAATTAGTATCTACCTACTTTCTCTCAAAAACTAAGACTTTGCTCAGTTTTTGTTGTAGATGTAAACTTTATTATTGTGTTTTGTAGTAATATTTTTAAACACGTTTCTCCAATTTGAAAACAATTTTCGATTTAGAAATTCAAAATTCTAACTATTCTACTTTTTAACGTCTCAATAGGTGGTACCGTTAAGGGTTAAGTTGCAATAAATGCATCGACTTTCACTTTTCACAATAGTGTGACCTTTGATATGATGATAAGGCTACAATAAACAGCCGTGGTGTTATAATTATATAGGTATTTATATCATTTATTTCAGCGTCATTCGACCAGGTGCTAGTCGCCCGCATGCTGTTCCTAGTGGCAGTTTCTTCACTACCGATGTGCGTGTACCTGGCGTACCTCCTGGCCTTTGTTCTCCACGATCTATGCATCGTCTGTGTGTCCACATACATCGTAAACATCGTACTAACCATCCTGACCTACAAGAAAATGAACGCATTAGCAACAAAGAAGAAATAAACACAAAATCGATGTTTTAAACCGCTTTTTCGTGCTGCAAAAACATTGTAAAAACGTATAAAATACCTCATGTAATACCAAACATTCCTGTTACTTTGTAAATATTATATATGAATTTATTTCAATGTTCGCCAACTGATTCGAACTTTCCACATTGAAATACGCATACGTCAGTGGGAAAAGTAAAATACAACTTAGTAACAAAATGCACTCAACCGCGCGTTGAATATCCGATGTGCGGACTAAAGTGTTTATTTTACAACTTTAGTTTGTGATTTTACCCAGCCACGTTGCCACGCTCGTAGTCACAGGAAAATATTAAGTTTTGATGATTTTAACGCTCGTTTCCTAAAGTTATTTTTGAAAGCTTTATGTTATGTAATAAATGGTGGAAAGTGTATTTTGGTTTTATTTTAATGTCTATCTCCTCGTGTTCTAATAGTACCTATAATCAGGGCAAAAAAGGAAAGAGAATCGTAGTTTTTAAATCATAGTAAAAAGTTCAATAACTCCTTTGAGGTGCATTTGCACGTACTTTACTTTGACTACACAACTAAGAACATTCTAGACTTTTTACCTCTAACATAAGGAAGCTACGAACTAGAGCTAATCTTTAAACTGCTTTAATTTCAACATTGTAGGTAGTACATAGTAAATATACAAATTTCTACCATAGAAGCTGTTTTTTTAACACGTTTCGTACAAAAAGTCGAGTGTCTAGTGTTCAAGACCTATAAAGTACTCCGTGGTTGCTTCCCCTGTCGACTTGGCATTTATTTTCACAGCATTTTGTGCTCGTTCGTGGCTCGCATAACTTTAAGCGGCGGCCAAATCTGCGGTCGCATACAACCGACCGTTTCGAGCCCGTAGGTGTCACTTTAGGATGAAAGTGGCTGGAACTGAAACTGATTTTCGAGTTTCGCTGCGGATTCCTGTTATTTGTTTAACCCGGTCAACGTTTATGTTTAGGAGATCGAGTTTTAGGTGAGTTTGTGCCATCTGTACCATTTATACCATAAGTATAAGTGTGGGAGAGTTATGCTTCGGCTCGAAAGGATCCCCCCGGAATGATACCACGGCTTTACAGAAAACCGGTGTGAATCAACCACAGCGTTGTGTTTCACCATGTGAGTGAAGTTACCGGAGGCCCGATCCCTAAATCTCGGCTACCAAAAAGATCGGCAACACACTCGTCACTGCTGTATTGTTGCGTGTGTCCATGGGTGGTGCTGATTGCTTACCATCAGGTAATCAATCTGCTCGTAAGTCGTAAGCCATCTTACCACAAAAAAAGAAAATTATAGAGTGTGAAAATTTTAGTGTAAGTTTGTTTCATAGAAGTTATGTACTTAAGTGTATCTTCATATCTAAGTTCAAAATAAAACTTTTGCTAACCTGTGATTATATTGAACTCCTCGTGCTCAGAAGTCGTGCTTCTGCGCTTCTAGACTAACGAGAATTAACTAGTAAATGCAACCTCCTTCGATTTTACTTTCACTTAGACGTGTTCCAATTTACATACCTAGGTACATATGAACATGTTACTTAGGATTCGATTATAAATTGCCTAAGCCGCCAACCGCCGCACTCGGAGTAATTTAAAAACTACTTTACCACACACTTTTACGGTCTTGGCAACTGTAGTTATTATTTTTAGAACAAAATCGTTACTTTAGGTTTTTTGAGAGAGGAAAATGATCAAATTTCATTTTTTTTTCTTTCTTTTTATATGAAAACATTGTCCCACACTAGCAGTTTCTCCTGTGTCGTGGGTGCGTTTACAAACATACAAGTTCACTTACACATCACACAAAGTGTTGTTTCGTTGTAAGAAACGAACCCACGCCACGTTGCAGAGCAGCTAGTTACCCAGCCACTGCGCCAACCGTGCAGTCAGGGGTAAGAGACAAGTGGGAGTGTCAGATTCTTACTAATTAAAAACCACCCTGTTCCTTCTCCAGCTACAGGACGGGGCCGCAGTACATTATAGGGCTTGATCCCCAACCGCGGCTGAAGAACGAATAGGTTAAGTTTTTTATGTTACAGGTCGGCCAAAGATCTGACGGTTTGCCTGATGGTAAGCAATCAACGCCGCCCATGGACACCCGAGGAGTTAGGAGTGCGTTGCCGACTTTTTGGGGATTAGGGATTTGGAGATTTAGGGATTGGGGAGGGAAAGGATTGAGCCTCCGGTAATCTCACTCACAAGGCAAAACACAACGCTGTAGTTGTTTCACGCTGGTATTCTGAGAGGCCGTGGTATCACACCGTTCGTGCCGACCCATTCGTGCCGAGGCATGGCTCTCCCAGACTTGTATGCCAGTAAGCAGTAATTAATTTAGTTTGGCTCATCTTTGGGCATGAAGGGGTTAGCTGGTTCCACCGGAGTACCTAATAACAAGACATCACATAAACATTAATGCCTTTTGGTTCACCTTGTGATTAGCGGAGACCTAATCCTTCTTCTTATACCCAATCCCCGAACTCTGTAATCCTGAAATAAATCAATCAATTAAATCAATCCTTAAAGCACTCATCTGGTATTCTGAGTATCCTTAAACAGAGTCCATTGCTTACCACCAGGTGATCCGTCTGCTCGTTTGTCACCCAAAAGGCCAAGTTTCTGATCAACAAGTAAAGCAAGAGACAGTCCACAATTGAACACTGAACCTCCACATAAGACCGGTTATCATTTGTTTTTTTAACTACACTTGGGATATGGTTAAGAGATTGCTATTTAGGTTTTTATCAGAGAGCGTCAGATACTGTCAAATGACTCCCTTTCGCGGGTGTTCATAAAGGAGTAAAGAGGTTATTATGTAGGTACCTCTATATATTTTCCAGTGAGGATCGTTAGTGGATATAATTATCAGAATCCGAACTTGAATAAGGTAAATTTGTACTGCCTATATTTAAATATATTTCTTTTTATTAAAACATTTCAATACTCACGTTTCTCATAATATGTTCTATCAATTATACTTACGGAAAACTAACAGTTTGTTTCATTTATTTGGTTCTTAGTTTTCTTTTATAATTACAAATAAAAAATATTCGTATAAACATTCAAATGAAAGTTTTCAACTCAAGTCCAAAGATCACCTTAATGTAATAAAAAAAAAGATTAGATAGATTTGTCTGAATTGCGCCATCTCTTAAACAATAGAGAAAACTTTGATAACTTCATTGTATTATAGCGCCATCTATTGTTGGGTGGAAGTAACTTGATATAGTTGCAGAGGGCGCTGACTTCATTCAAGCGAAGTTTTGTAGTGAATAAAAAGTTGAAAACTTTTTTGATTTTCTACAAAACAAAATATGAACGAAATAATTTAGTAAATATTCAGATGTTTATGACTAAGATGGTAAATGAATAAAATAAACGGTATGTTGTATACCTACTTTAACTGGTAGATATTACAAATATTTTACAATCTAATAAATGGAATTCTTATTCGATCGTAAAATAACTTTAGAATTATACCACTCAACTGTGATACGTGCTTCTTAAATAATATGTTTAAGTCTAGGTCAAAACCAAGAAAAGATAGAATCTTTAGTTTTCAACCGCCTATTCATATAAATAACAAAAAACGAGGACGTAAACTAAGTAAGTAGATTATTACCTTGTTCAATAACGTTCAGTTAACGTAACGTAAGTCTTAAAAGAGTATCCTTTTAGTGGCTAAAGCGGACGTTTCCTCGTCGGGTTTTAGTGCGTAGTTGCGTTCCTAAGTAGTACTTACACGATGGTGACGTAATGACGATGGTGATCACAGTAAAGTCTTTTTAGTGTTCCCGCCAACTTTACTTCTATAGCCTACTTGATGTAGGAGTAGGGTAGGTTCTGTAGTATTTAGTACCGTCGTAAAGTTTGGCTTGTTCAATACCTACCTACCTAGTTTAAGGAGACTTTATGTGCCTTGGTGATTATTTAGATTCTCATTCCTGAATTCTGTATAAAACAACACATGAATTATAGTGCTGATGATATGTATTAAAAGCTGTTTTTAATAGTCATAAAGTATGAAACTTAAGTTTTTTTCTGCGAACGAAAACCTTACTTACGTTATTCGAAAATAATTAAAGTTAAGAATAAAGCGACCTCCCTACTCGTAAGTAGGGAGGTCGCTTTATTGCCACTAAGTATTAAATGTACTAATCTTATTGTTATCGTTATTTCACATCAATTTATCGCTATAAGAATTTGATTCCATAAGAAAAAATTGTATCTGTTTCGAATTAATCTAAAAGACAGACATTAAGACAAATATTTATCATCATCCTTATATTCTAGCCCTCAATCTTATAACTAGATACATTTTGACCAGAATTGCAATTGATTTGTAAACTAGGAAAAGTATACATAGGTAATTTCTCTCTCGATTCATGTTTGATTTCTACTAGATGATTGATCCGTCTCTAAATATAAATGAAACATCTATTTAGACATGTAAACATTTTATAGAGATAAAAAAATGGCTAACATCAACATTATTTAATAAGAACATTTTTAATACCTGGGCACTTAAAACGAGTCATTTTTCTTCATTTTGCACGACGAAAACGTTGATAACAGTGACAAGACGTATGGTCCATCACTCCGTCAGAGGTAACGACCTTCCAAGAGGACGTACGCTTTGTTTGCAGACGATCAGATACAGCTGTCGCCTGGATGATGGCCCAACGGACCGATTAAAAGCAACTGATTACGCTCAACCACTGAACATGAGTAATCTGACATTGTTCAACAACTCGGCAAGCTTTTGAACATTTTCCGACAACACAATTTAGTTACGTTTTTTTTCGTCTTAACCTCGGCCATTATTTATACATACCTTCTTTCTAGATTTAGCTAAAATTGTCATGAAGCACACGTAAAGATGTGTAATAAAAAACTATATACTGTGTTAATTTCGTTTTTCGAACGCCTCGTCTAAGTCTGAGAACACTTGTGCGTTTATTTGTCCTTTGGTATTTTGGAGTTGTATATTCTATGGAAGGAGAAGACAAGATACAATACTTAGCTACTGAATTTGATTACATTCAGTCACTCTTTCACATTTTAGATGGGCGCGGGTCCAGTCAGTGTTGCGATTGCAAGTACAACTTTCGTCTCACTCTGGACGGGTGAAACCAATAACCTAGCAATTTAACGTCACGTTTACAATCTGGACACAATAAATAAT